CAATGCTCTTAAATGTTGGGTGACTGTACTAGTGAAGTTTCTTAAAGAAAGATAATTTTCTTTATGAATGTATTCTTACTCAAAAATGGCTTTTCAATGAGTTTGAATTATTACTTTTTTGGTTTGATACCTACTGCCTAACAAATCCCATGCTTTATGATAATTAGCATCAGAAACTTCGATGGAGGTCAATGAATTAGCAGCATCTCAATTGGTGCAAGATTTTAAGTACCAAAACTTTTCGACGTTGTTGATAGATGATGGGTTATTATGAACTGAAGAATTATACGAGTCTTCAAATTGAATCCTAGCCTCAAATGCACCATGAAATTGTGGTAACTTTATTTTAGGCAAATTGACATTAAAATTTGTCGCAAGTTTGGTGTTATCAACACTCTGAGTGCTGCGGGGAGGTTCCTGTTGAGAGACTTCTATGAAATACCGATCTAGTTTACCTTTGGCCTTACCTGTGGGGCTAAAGAACTCATTCTCAAATTCAATTTAATAGTCTGAGTAATCTGTGGTGACAAGAAACAATTAATTCTAAATCTCCCTGAACGCCAGTAAATTCGGCCCATAGCTACTGAACTTTTTCTAAACTTACCTGAAGTTCATATATTCTCGTAAGATCGAAAAATGAATTCACTTGGTCTGGAGGGGGAAGCGAGAATGCGTTGAAAATTAGGGATCTGGTTTCAATTAAATTTTAAATTTTATCTTCGTTCGTCATTTTGTCCTCAGTCATTGATTTAGCTACTAATTGAATATGATTGTGTATTGCACAATATTGTATGCAACACCGATTATAGCAAGCAAAAATAAATTAAAGGTTTTGTTCGATTCGAATAAATATTAAGTATTGAAAAATAAATGGTTTATATTGCCCCCGACAACAGACTACAACCGATGACCTAAAATATATCATTTTCTGTTGGTGCTGGAAAATCGATGGCTCTTAAATCATGTACCCTTTTATAATGGCAAGGATGCAATATTTGCATTTGAGTCATTCTTCCGATCTGAAAATATGGTTTCAATTAAATTATGTGTTGTATCTCCTTGTGCAATATTTTATTTTTTTATCCTTTATCCTTTTTTTTTAATAATAAAAAAAATTACACGAAGACATTTACTAGCTTTTGCTATTTGAGGATTATATGAAATTATATTTAGCGCTCCGTCTAAAGGCGGCGTTCTTGTCCTCGGGAGCGTCTAAATGATCCTTGATCTCTTAAATTCCCCCATTAATATCCAGTGCCAAATAATTCCCTATGGGGTAATCTGCTTGTTGGAAACCGCCTTTGACACTGTCGTAGAGCAGCTCGTGCGTTACCATTGCAGTAACCATAAATGAAATGAATATCAGCTAACTCCTTGTTGGAAGTGACGAGAAAACAGACATATTTTTTTACGCAAAAACTATGAACGCTACAACATTTTACAATTAGCACAAAATTGTGGACAAATGATTAGTGCATCAACCTAAAAAAACTCAGTTGATTTTATCCTCCAACTAAAAAGTTTTTGTACCACGACACTCAGGAATTCACCACTTGCCCAAAAAGGCTGAACATCGTACTATTCTCCCGGTATTTCGAAAAAGATAATTTTTTTGGAGAACTTTGACCATCAATAGCAAGGACCCAGACATTTTTTGTCAATTAAGAGTTTCTTTTCTTCGTAAAATACTTCAGGTTTCCACAATTTGTAGAAAAGGACTGATTTATAGTATCAGAAAAGAGCTTTTTTTCTACTTGTAACCCAAACTAACCCAAATGATACGTCTATGACAAAAGACTGACTTCTGAGTCTTAATTTCAGATATAGATTCAGCATACCAAACTTACTAAAGTTTAAAAACAATTTGGAAAAAACTCTACTACTGGGCCCCTCTTCAAGAAGGCGTAGTTCCGTTAGGGAGTATTTTTCGATACCTGTTCATTTGAAAAATTCATATTTGTTAGGGTTAAATTTAAGGAAGAATTCGATTGATGCAGATTTTAATGAACGCCTTGCGCGGGCCACAGCCAAATAAATAATAAATAATCCTTTGGCAACCCCACCACTTGTTTTTCCCCACAGAATATCCCCCCAGGGATGTTCTGTGCTGTTACCCGGAAGTACCGCCGCGCCGTCTCCTGTCCCAGCCATGAAGTAGCCCCGATGTTGCCACTCCCGTCCTGGGTGTGTCCCGCTTACCACTGTTGCCGCTCTCGTCGTGGTTGCTCCGTTTTCCCAGGTTGCTTACAATTATTATCGAGAGCAGATTTTACTGTTCCAGTTTGGTAACCTAATTTCGGGACACTCTGTATGTCTTTCAGTTTATTCCATGCTACGTTAGGATTTTCATTTTGCACTATTGGATTAACAGCAATATGCTGTTTGCATGGATCTGAGTAAAGTGGCTTAGCGCTTTCATGGTTGAGCAATTATATATTGAATTTTTCGATTTTAATTGAAATAAACTTGATTAAAATCTCAAAATGAGTCAAATAAAAATAGAATTCTTAGCATTAGCACTCTTAAACCTGAACCAACGTAATTTTTTAAAATTCAAATTAGCGTATGCATAAAATATGAAACGACATATGTAGGAGCACTTTAAGTGGAGCCTTGAAAAACATCAGCTTTTCTTTCCACATAAATGAAACATTTTTTTAGCTAGACGTCCGGCTCAAATGATAGTGTGTTCATTTAAGTGATCCGTGTCAATCAAGCGACGTCCCTTGATCTGCAAGAATCTGCTGAAATGTACAGTAAGCAAGAGAGTCTGCTTGGCATGTTGAAGCCTATGATGATGTTCACTGGAACATGGAGACTAGATGGCATGAATTCCACCGTCCGCTGGTTCTACTGGTTATACAGTCTCATTTTCCATGGCTTTGGCGTACTATTTATCATCTCGGTAGTCGCCAAGTTTGTTGAATTTGTTAAATCAGGTGCTGACAGTGAGGACATCATTTCAAGCCAAGTATTTTTGCTGTCTGGTACTTGTATATTTAGCAAGTTTCTTATATATCAAATCTGCAATGTT